TAACAAATTTAATATTTAGCTGCACATAGCTAGCTAAATATTTAGCTAAAAAATAAATATTTATTTAACAAATTTAATATTTAGCTGCACATAGCTAGCTAAATATTTAGCTAAAAAATAAATATTTATTTAACAAATTTAATATTTAGCTGCACATAGCTAGCTAAATATTTAGCTAAAAAATAAATATTTATTTAACAAAGTTAATATTTAGCTGCACATAGCAAGCTAAATATCTAGCTAAAAAATAAATATTTGTTTAACAAACTTAATATTTAGCTGCACATAGCTAGCTAAATATTTAGCTAAAAAATAAATATTTATTTAACAAAGTTAGTATTTAGCTGCACATAGCAAGCTAAATATTAATTTTGTTAAATAAATATTTATATATTTATATCATAAAATATTTGAACCTCTATATTTATTTAAAAACAACATATTGAAAACTAAATATTTAGTTCGAAGCTAAATATTTTTTTAGCAAAGTAAGTTTTTTATAAATGAATGAGAGACATAGTAAAAAAATGACTTTGGGGGGAATAAACCTCTTATGTTTCTCTAAAAACATTAAATAATCATAAATATTGCTTCTAATTTCTGACTGCTTAACTTTAAAAAGGCGTCCCATAGATTTTAAGAAAAACATTTTTTTATCTTTCTATTATTTGTAGTGTGGAGCTTTTGGCATCGACCTTTTTAAACGTATCTGACCTGATGAGGCGTTTTCCAGACGCGTGGTTAGAGGAGTAGAGGCAGAATGTGATGTCAGAGCAGCAGCCGTGCAGCATGCGTTACGCAGCATGATCAGCAGCGCCGCTGCTTCATTAAACACGGAGCAGCTTCTGATAAAAATTGCTCACCTCTCCTTCTCTCTTCTGGATGTCGTCCGCTTTGTCTCCGGCGTACGCCGACTGCAGACGGACGGCGTCTTCCTGAAGCTGCCGGACCTGCAGCAGAAAGAAGTTCAGGTCGGTTCGAGGCGAGCAGCTGCAGGTGTTCCCTCCCGTCCAATCAGAGGAGGGCTGGATCCTGACCCCTACCTGCGTCCCCAGAGCCTGAATGTCGTGTTCGAAGGTGGTGTGCATCCTCTGCAGGGTCTCCACCGTGTTCTGGTCCCGGCCCAGCTCCTCCGGGAGCTTCTTGTGTTTGTCCAGGATGCGGTTCAGGATCTCCTTGGCGTCGTGGTAGAACTTGTGGAGCTCGTAGGAGGCGGCGAGGATCTGCGTGCGCGTGTCGATGAGCTCCAGCAGGTCGGCCCAGGCCTCGTTCAGGCCGTCCTTCCACTCGGCGATGGTGGCGGAGTCGCTGTGGCCCGCGTTGATCAGCTCGTCCGCCTGCTTGTTCACGCCGTCCACGCGCTCCTGGCCGATGTTCCCGGTGTCACGGGCGAATTCTCGGAATCGCTCCTGCAGCATCTGAAGGAGAAGGAAGATTATCTTATAATCAGAATAAAGACAATAAATCCTAAACAGGAAGATTCAGGTCAGCTCCAGGTTCATCGCTGCCTGTTTTTAATTAAGTTCAGGACGGTATTTAAAATAAGAAACAGAGATATTTCATCAAATAAAAATTTTTAACATTATAAATAAATCCGGTTCTGCTCATAAAAATATGTACGGGTGTACACTGTACGCTTTCTG